GCATATAAGGTTTTTTCACATAATCCCATGTTTCTTGGAGGCTTTGTTCATTTCTTTTTACTCTTTTTTCTCTTGTATTGCCTGCTCTTGTTATTTCATTGAGTTGATTTTCAATCTCTGATATCCTTTCTTCTGTTTGATCAATACAGCCATTAAAACTTGTGTTTGCTTCATGTAGTTCACGTGCTGTGTTTTTCAACTCCATCAAGTCATTTATGTTCTTCTCTAAGCTGGTTATTCCAGTTAGCATTTCGTCTAACCTTTTTTCAAGGTTTTTAGTTTCTTTGCATTGAGTTAGAACGTGTTCCTTTAGCTCTGAAAAGTTTGTTATTATCCACCTTCTGAATCCTGTTTCCGTCAATTCTTCGCACTTCTCAGTCAAGCTGTGATCGTGTTGTTGAGGAGTTGTGATCCCTTTAAGGAAAAGAGGTGTTCTGGTCTTTGATGGTTTCACCTTTTTTGCACTGGTTTTTCTCCATCTTTGTGGATTTACCTGGCTGTGGTGTCAGAGAGCTGCCTGATGAGGTGGCTTGTCTGCCTGTGGGGGCACTCCTGGGTTCCTAGGGACTCCTTCAGGTTACTAGGGAAGCTTCCTTTGTCTTTTTGTTTATGCTGGGAGATTAGGCCCACCTCTTCTGCTGACCTGTAGGCCTGCTGGGTTGTCAAGAACACTGTCCCATTGCTATGTAGGCTTCCTGTGTTTTTTGTTAAAACATGTAGCCCAGTCCCACCCCTCTAGTGGTGGGTTGTGCCCTTCTTCCACTGGGCTGGATCATTCAGGGTTCATCCCAGACTGTGGCACTGGCTATGCAACCCACTAGAGTCAGAGCTTCAGTCTTGTAGGATTTGTAGGGGAGCGTAGGGACCTGCCCAGCTGCACCTGGCTGTCTCCCCCTTCCAGCCTCCGCTTCTCTGGTCATGGGGTAGGAGCCGCCCAGCTGCTCCAGCTTACAGATCCCTCTCTCTACGGGCAGCGGGGAGGGGGCGATAGCACAGTCTGCAGACTCTTATTCAACTCTGCACTTGTAATTCCTGGAGCTTGACTGGCAAAGATACCCTCTTCTGTGTATTGCTGAGGCTTTGGGGGAAGCGCTATATCTGGACCGGAGTGCCAGAGGTGGAGCCTCTGACTCGCTGGTCAGATGCACTTTCTGGATGAAGCAGCACCCCTCCCCACCTTGGTTTGCCCTGAGTGGGCTTTGGTCACCCTCGGACCAGACCCGTTGAAATGCACCTGGTACCTCAGTTGGAGCTAGGAGATCTCTGGGTTTCTGCATCTCTCTCTCTGGGTGTTGTGCACTGGAGTTGTGTCTAATCTGCCATCTTGGGTTAATTTTTAAATTAAGTAATATTTAGTTAGGTACTAAGAGACAGTGGTTCACTTAGTTAATAAGATAAATGCAACTCCATGCTTTCTACATGAGATAAACTTACAAACTTATGTAAAATCCATCTCATGTTTCTATATGAGGCATACTTAAAAGAATTTGGGTTAAAAGTTAAAGACGGGCAGTGAAATTTTTATAAAACATAAAAAGATATTATGAATGACATCAAAAAAAGCAAAATTGACAGAAAACAGTAAATGAGGGGTCATTTAATATTGATAAAAACAATATAAAAGATATAGTTATAAAATTGATATGTTAACATAGCATTATATATAATAAATTATAAAGACATTAGAAGAGGTTGCTCTAAATAAATAAATTGGGATATTTTGATATTCCTGTTTCACTGAGAAACAATATAGGCAATAAATAAAGGTAAACATCATATGAATAATATAGTGATTGATTTAATAGAAAAATCAAACTTTATATTTAATAAGTAGAAATTACATCTTTTTGTTAATTGGTTAGGAAAGCGTATGACACCAGCATGAGATAGAAACAGAAACAATGAGACGGAATCAAATGCCCAGAAGTGGTATATAGTATACATAGGAAACTAGCATATTATGAAGATAGCATTTCTAATCAGTGAGGGAAAAGCAAGTTAAAGTAAAACTGCTGCTGCGATAACTGCCTGCCTTTAGTGGGTGCTGAGATTAACTTAGTTCTTCACCACAGAAATAACAAAGTAATTTCCACATAGATTAAGGTCTTAAATGTTAAAAAAAAAACAAATGATAAGGGAAAGAACTAGGGGTTAATATAGGAGAATATTTATATATTCAATCCAGTGCAGTAAAACAAAAGAAAAATGGATGATTTGAATACATATAACTTAAAAAATGCATGAATGGCAAAAAATGAGAACAAACTATATATATATGTGTGTGTGTGTGTCAGGCAAGGGGCTGAGTATATGAAGGGTTTTGCAAAGTATTTCAGCAAGAAAAAGATGAATGTGCCAGATTCTAAAAGGCAATAAAGTTTTCCTATTTCTAAATATATCTAAAACAAAAATTAAAGAGGGTGAGGATTCTTAAGCCATCTAAAGTAATGAGAAGACAGAAATTATCTTAAATCAACCTATCACATTCTTCATGATGTATTTTAAAAATTAAATTGCTTGAAAGGTTTATGCTTTAAAAATCTGAAATATTTCCTCTCAAATTTTGTTTATGTTCTCAGTTATCAATTTCTAAACTGCTAGATTTCAAAATTAATGATTTATACAGAAACACTTCAGATAAAACAAGTGCTTAAAGTGTGTTGAAGAAGGGATTTCTGCTTCTGGACAGATTGAATAATCATGTTTTTCTCTATATTTCCTCATTAAAGTACAGCTAAAACCCTGGACATTATAAATTTATAAAACAAGCATAAAAAGACTGTGAAAGGTGGAAAGAAGGCAGTAGACTTGCTAGAGATGGTGGGACCAGAGGAAAGATGTATCTGTGAGTTCCCTGGGCTTTCTTTTTCCCTCATTTATCACACACTAGGTAGTGGAGAAGCCTACAACCCAGAAACAACATTGGGCACAAACTAAAAATAAAAACCTGCCCTCTCAAGCAGAAGGATGGAGAAATGGACAGCCTAGCAAGACAGAAAACTTTCAGACAACCATTTGACTCTAGGCAAACACCACCAAGAACACTATGGCCTACCCCCACCAAAAAAGGCTAAATGGAGAATGTACACTTCCACCCTTTTGATGCTGTCCAGTCCTTCTACTGAGGCGGTGTTAGAGAGACTGAGTGTCAAGCTAAGGCATTCATCTCCACAAGGCAGTATAGAAAGTACCTCCTCCCTAAGTGTGGAGTGTCAGTGAAGACCATGTGGGAGCCTAGACTTATACTCCTACCAGGCAGTAATAAGAACCCAGTAACCTTTCTGTTGGAGTGGGGTCAGAGGTAGTCTAGTGAAGGGTCAGAACTTTGACCACCAATCAGCTAAAATGAGACTACCTCCACAATACCAGTACAGGACTCTGGGAGAACCTGAGCTCTCACCCTTATCCATTAGTAATAAGGAGCCCTCCATAGCCTAGGCCAGGAAGTGGAACACAGTATTTGCACTCACATTCACTTAGTCGCATATAACCACCTGAATGGGTTAAGCTGAGAAATGTAGGAGCCAGTTGGGCAATTGTAGGTCCAACCACGACCCTGTTTTAGTGTATGAATAGAAGTCTCTACCATAGATATGTTAATTGGACTTAATTTATCTGGTAAGATTAATCTATAACTGTTTTAAAATAATTTATTGGTTCTTTACAATTGATTTTGTATTTCTATGCCCTGAAAAAGTTATTTATAGTTTTCCCAAATGATATGTTTGCCATTTTAAAGACTCTTTCAAATATCTGTTTCTTCTTCAGCACAAATTTTTTTGTCTTTAAATATATTTTTGTGTTCTGTTGATGTTTATTAAAATAACTCAGGTTTGGGTACAGTGATCCATGCCTGTATTCTGAGCACTTTGGGAGGCTGAGGCAGGAGGATCACTTGAGCCCAGGAAGTGTGCTCACAACAGAGCAAGACCCTGTCTCAAACAAACAAATCACTCACCCACTCACTCACTCACTCACTCAGGTCACTTTTACCTGACTTGATGCTGTCTACTGACATGTAATTATGAAAATTACTGAAACTGATTGCTGCCCCAAATTTAGGTTATCTGTCCCAAATTATAAACTTTCATTGTACTTTCTCTCATGTCCCTCCTTCTCAATAAAAGAAATTAAAACCTAGATCTATTCTGATAGTTTTCCTTCTCTTTGTCAGAATTGTAGAGCTAACTAAATTTAGCTTAACTAGACCAGGGCGATATTTTTTAAAAGGTAACAAGTTATTTTATATATAGTAAAGAAATTGGGTAATATTAATTTTCTGAAAAAATATTTTTGTCTTCATTGGAAAAGATTAAATTACTTAAGATACAGTAGAACAGAAAATATGTTACAGAAGTAGCAAAATAGTTGCTTTCCTTTTGGCCACTGATTTTGGCTGCCAGCTTATTAAGATTAATTAAATTCTGTAACTCAGTACCAAAATAAGTTTATGTGTAATCATATTTTTAACTTTATCTTTTTTATTCCTAATGTGTGCTTCTGGCCGGGCGCAGTGGCTCGCGCCTATAATCCCAGCACTTTGGGAGGCCAAGGAGGGTGGATCACGAGGTCAACAGATCGAGACCATCCTGGTCAACAAGGTGAACACCATCTCTACTAAAAATACAAAAATTAGCTGGGCATGGTGGCGCGCGCCTGTAGTCCCAGCTACTCGGGAGGCTGAGGCGGGAGAATTGCTTGAATCCTAATATATACTTCCTTTGGATAATTAGATCTTTAAGGATAATGTAGTTTTATTAACAGGGTTGCATTTTTGTATGTGTGCTTTAAGTTTTTTTTGAAAACAAGCCCAAAAGCAAATTCTTTATTTCTAGGCAGTTGCCATATTCTCTTTTCTTAATCTATACATTTAATTCTGCATGGAAAAACAATCACTGAAGCCTGTGATTCTGGTTAACATTTACATGTTGTCTTAACATTTGTTAGCTATAATTCAGAAAACTCTTTTGAATTTACACCATTGAATTTTACTTTTCTAGCATCCTTTTATCAAGAATGCAAAACCTGTATCAATATTAAGAGACCTGATCACAGAAGCTATGGAGATCAAAGCTAAAAGACATGAGGAACAGCAGCGAGAATTGGAAGAGGAGGAAGAAAATTCGGTTTGTAATTATCTTCAAAAGTTGATTTTTTTGCTTCTGAGTTACTTTTCTATAATTTTGTTACTTTAAATATATTAATAGCACTTACTGTTTTATTATACAAGTAAGGTATGTTTCTTCACTGAATCTCACAATATATGTTTGCTATCTTTTTCTGATGCCTCACGCCTGTAATCCTATGACTTTGGGAGGCCGAGGTGGGTGGATCACCTGAGGTCAGGAGTTTGAGACCAGCCTGGCCATCATGGTGAAACCCCATCTTTAAAAAAAAAAAAAAAAAAAAAGAATTAGTGATTAGTGGAATGTAATGTTGATAGGATGGACTTGCACAATACCTAGTATCTAGTTGATATAAACTCAGAGTTTATTGAATAAATATTGTCTTGAATTTGGACAATTTTGTGTCATATCTCCTGGACTTTCTTGTAACTGGTCACCAGCTGTACTGTAGACAAAGAGTACCATAGCAGAACAGGAGTTACAGAGAAAGCAGGAGGGACATAAAAGGGCCTAGCATATTAAACTAGCCATTTATTCCTTTACTTTTGATGTTACTATATTTAAATAACAAAATAATTGTATTTATTTACCACATTTTGTAGTGTCTAATGCTTCTTCTTTTTTTTTGAAACAAAATCTCACTCTGTCACCTGGACTGGAGTGCAGTGGCACAGTATTGGTTCACTGCAACCTCCACCTCCCAGGTTCAAGTGATTTTCCTGCCTCAGCCTCCTGTGTATCTGGGACTACAGTCACATGGCACCATGCCTGACTATTTTTTGTATTTTTAGTAGAGATGGGGTTTCACAGTTTTGGCCAGGCTGGTCTCAAACTCCTGACCTCAAGTAATCTACCCACCTCAGCCTCCCAAAGTGCTGGGATTACAGGCATAAGCCACTGCACCTGGCTTGTAGCATCTAATGCTTCTGTTCCTTGCGAGTTATTTTTTGCCTTGTGTTTGAAATTATATATATTTTTCTGGATAACGATATAGAGGTGAATAGCCCTTGGTATTCAAATAGTCATAAAATCTGAAAACACATGTATTATTTTATTTTTTACTGATTGAAAATGTATTTTATAACAGTATGTTCTCCCATAAAAATTAATTTAAAAAAATCTTATAGTTTCTGTATACAAATAGTATTATTTTGCTAAATTTAATTTAGTTTTAATTTCAGAGGCCGGTTATCCAATTAGGAATTCTTTTGAAATTCTTTTACTCTTTTTACCAATTATTAAACCTTGTATCATTTGGTAGCCCAGGACAAGGAGAAATGTGCATCTTTGTAGAGCTGGTTTATAGTCATGTTCTTTAGATATGCAGCTACATGAATTATTTATTTGGCCATCATCATGGACTGCCTAGTGAGAGAGATGCTTTAAACTTGTATTCTAGATGTAAAAATCTTTCACCAATGAATTCACTACTTACAATTTTAAATAGTGTCTTCAAAAGGTATTATCTTCATATTTGTCATTGTGCGTTAATTCTACAAAGATAAGTAGGTGATATGGCAGATTTAAAGACCCTTAGTTCTTGCTCTCAGGGGGTTTCATGTTTCCTACCCTGGATTCTTGTGTGATGGTAGATACATTTAGTTTCAGATTTTTCTCCAGTTAATGTTTTTAAATATTTAATTTTGGTAGTTGTTTCTTATGGTTTCAAAAGCACTTTATCATATATTATCAGTTTTTACTACTTTTTAAGAGCTTATTACAGTCACTTTGGTTTCTTTCTGACCCTTTAGTGATCTCTTTCTTCACTATTTTTCTTTCCTTCACTAAGCTTGAGTTACACTAGTCTTTCAGAATTTTAATTTTTTTTTAACATGCTCAAGATGTTTCCTTACTCGGGGCCTTTTCATGTGCTATACCCTGTACTTGAAACTCTCTTCTTCCTTAGAACTCTTGGAGTGGCTAGGTTCTTTTCTTTTGAGTCTCAGTTTTAAATATCATGTATCCCTAAAACACAGAACCTTAAAACACACATTTATTATCATGGTATTTGTAGATTGCTATTTCAAGAGGGTGATATAGCAATAGTTGGGTGATTTATTCTCAGGGTTTCGCAACACTTAGAGATGACAGTCTAAGTGTTCGTCAGAGCTGCAGTCATCTGAAGGCTTGAAGGGGGCTAGAGGGTTCACTTCCAAGATGGCTCATTCAGTGGCTCTCAGAGTGAGTGATCCAAGAGAGAAAGCAAAAAGTACCTTACTTTCTTTTATGATGTAGTCTCAGGAGTTAAATGCTGTCACTTCTGCCACATTCTATTTGTTTATTTTTTATTACTTTATTTTGTTTTATTTTATTTTATTTTTGAGATGGAGTCTCACTCTGGTGCCCAGACTGGATTGCAGTAACATGATCTCAGCTCACTGCAAACTCTGTCTCCTAGGTTCAAGCAATTCTCCTGCCTCAGCCTCCCAGGTAGCTGGGACTATAGACACATGCCACCACACCCAGCTAATTTTTGTATTTTTAATAGAGATGGGGTTTCATCATATTGGTCAAGTTGGTCTAGAACTCCTGATCTTCAGTTGATCCACCCACCTTGGCCTCCCAAAGTGCTGGGTTTACAGGCATGAGCCACTGCGCCCAGTCCATTCTATTTTTTTAAAAGCAAGTTGGTGGTGGAACAGGGAGCTCCAGAAATCAGTACCTCCACAGAAGTAATTGTTAAGCTGTCAAAAATCAACAAATCAACTTTTACATGACTCTGGAATCTGATAGAAAACGTACAGCATCCAAGGGAGTGCCAGATTTTGATAAGAAAGCATGACACTTTTGCTTATGTACCAACTGTCCTTTATTTTCTAGCCCAGTGGCAGCTATGGGGCCAGCAACCCATATTCCCGGTGTAGCTTGCTGGTGCTAGGAAGGGGACAATAAGAACTTTGTTCTGAAAAAAAAATTGTAGTTTTCATTTTGACCTGTCTGGTGGTTCTCTGCAGGACTGGTGCAGGACCTTTGTTTCAGCCCCCCCACGAGCTAGAGCAGCTTCCTAGCAATCTAAATCTGCTAGAGCTAGTAAACAAATTTGGCAAAGTTTCAGGGTACAACATCAACCACAAAACTCAGTTGTATTTCTATGCACCAGCAATGAAAAATGTAAAAAGGAAATTAAACAATGCCATTTACAATAGCATCCAAAAGAATGAAATACCTAAGGAATAAATTTAACCAAGGAGGTGAAAAACTTGTACAGTGAAAAGTACAAAACATGGCTAAAATAAAAGACCTAAATCAACAGAAAGACATCTTGTATTCAGAGACTAGAAGACGTAATACTGTGAAGATGGCAGTACTCCTCAAAGCAATTCACAGATTTTTAAAATCCATTTCCAAATTCCAGATCATTTTTTGTAGAAGAGGAAAAGCCAGTTCTTAAATTCATATGGAATTAAAAGGGGTGCCAAATAGCCAAAACATATTGAAAAAGGAGAACCACATTAGAGGACTCATACTTCCTGTTTACAAAACTTAAAATGAAACTGCAATGATCAAATCAGTGTGGTAATAGCATAAGGATAGGTGTATAGACCAAAGGAATAGAATTGAAAGTCTGGAAATACACCGGTAAATCTATGGCCAACTGATTTTTAACAGGCTTGCTAAGACCGTTTAATGGGAAAAGAACAATCTCTTCAACAAATGGTACATTGACAGCTGGATAGCCACATGTAAAAGGAAGGAGTAAGACCCCTATAACTTGTCAAATACAGCAGCCTTTTAGTGTAAGATTTGATAGGCTGTATCAACAACCTAAATGTAAGAGCTAAAACTTAAAGCTCTTAGAAGAAAACATAGAGTTAATCTTAATGACTTTGGATTTGGCAGTGAATTCTCAGATAATATCACTAAAGCACAAGTAACAAAAAAGAAACTGAACTTCATCAAAATTAAACATTTTTGTGCATAAACAAATAAATTATCAAGAAGTGAAAAGACAGCCTGTAGAATGAGAAAAAATATTTACAAATTATACTTCTGATAAGGTTCTAGTATCCAAAATGTATAGAGGGTGGGTGTGATGGCTCACGCCTGTAAGACCAGCACTTTGGGAGGCCAAGACCGGTGGATTACTTGAGTCCAGATATTCAAGACCAGCCTGGGCAACATAACGAGACCACCATCTGTTTAAAGGAAAAAAAAAAAAAAAGCAAACTGTATTGAGACTCTTACAACTTACAGTTGAATGATAGGGAAATTGGTGGTTACCAGAGACCAGGATGGGGCCTGGTTGTGGTGGGCACGGGATTAGAAGAAGGGAAGGATGGAGAGTGACTCCTTAATGGGTACAGTATGTTCTTTTGAGGTAATAAATATGTTGTGATACTAGATAGAGGGGATGATTGCACATTGTGAATGCACTAAATGCCACTGAATTGTATACTTGAAAATGGTTAATTTTTTTTGTATATAAAGTGCACCTCAATATATTAAAAAAACAGGTCACTAAGTCTGGCCTGCACTCAAGGAGATAGGAATGAAGCTCTCCCTTTTCAGGGAACAATTGCCAAAGAATTTATGGATATGTTTTAAAACTAGCTCAGACTATCCTCTGACTGCACATTATTTACTTTCCTTGCCCATGCAAAATACACTCACTGTCTCTTAAGAGCTTTACCCCCATATACACCAAGTATTATTTCTTTACAATATCAGGTCAAAATCTAGAATGTCATCTTGTAAATTACATTCAGATAGAGATAATGTTCCTCGAGTCCAGTTGCTCTCAATCCGAAGACCTATGAACAAAAGAGAGAAAAGTTTCTTACCACCCCATTGCTGAATAGGCAAATGTACAATGGTGGGTCAGGCATAAAATTATATCACTATGGGTAGTTCTGTTTAAAAAAAGGGAAGGCAGGAAGTGTACATGAGTCACTATTCCATAGCAGTTTTGGAATCTAGCCAAGCAAATGCTAGAAGTTTCTTTATTAAAACTAAGTTCTGTTCCTACCTCAGGATAGTTCTTCATGGCTCCTTTCTATCAC